AGGCAGCACCACTAGTTGGGGTGCCCACAGGGCAGAGGATAAAGGGAGAAGCAGGCACCATCCTCCTAGAGGTGTAACATCTCATCTCGTCCTCTCCCCCACTGCACTGCGCTGCACACCAGGGAGCTCCCCACTCTGGCCCTGCTGAGCCCTGCCCATAGGTTTGTGCTGTCTGACTCTTTCCTTGTCCTGTGTGTGCTGAGCTGCCCCATCCATCCATCTGTCTATCCATATGTGTGTGCCCAACGCCATCTGTCTCCCCTTACTCATGACTTCCCACATCCCTGCACTGCCCTCTCGCTCGCACAGACAGCTGTGCACTTTGCTGAAGAAGCCCCGAATTGCAGCATGGCCATGGGGCTCTGGGTGGACAGCATGCCAGGCACCTGGGCTCTGCCTGCCTTTCTCCTCTCTTCCCTCTCGTCCTTCCTCCCACTGCCAGGCGTGCTGTTCAGCATTGAGGTCACCTCCACCTTCTTTGCTGTCCGCAACTATTGGCGTGGTTTCTTTGCCGCCACCTTCAGCGCCTTCATCTTCCGCGTGCTGGCTGTCTGGATCAAAGATGAAGGTACCCCCGTGGGATGGGAGGCTGGGGACACCAGGGTCCCCCCACCCAGCCCCGCTCACACCCACCGTGCCCCCAGAAACCATCACAGCGCTCTTCAAAACCCGCTTCCGCCTCGACTTCCCCTTTGACCTGCAGGAACTGCCTGCCTTTGCCGTCATTGGGTGAGTGTGTCTGCCCCATCCCATGTCTCCATCCCACACCCGTGTGGTGGACATGAGCACTCAGCCTCGACCTCTGCCCAGGATCGCCAGCGGTTTCGGTGGTGCTCTCTTTGTCTACCTCAACCGCAAGATTGTGCAGTGCATGCGCCGACAGAAGGCCATCAATCGCTTCTTGATGAAGAAGTAGGTGCCCAGTGGTCCCTACCATCATGGGAGCAACTGTCCCCTCTGGGATGGCAGGGATGGGATTGCACCAGTGTCACCACCTCCATGCCACCCTGCCAGGCGCCTGCTGTTCCCTGCCCTGGTGACACTTCTCATCTCCACACTGACCTTCCCACCCGGCTTTGGGCAGTTCATGGCTGGACAGGTAGCTATGGTGTGGCTATGGAGCTATGGTCCTTTGGGCCACCAGGACCCAAGCTCACTTTTTTGTCCCCAGCTCACTCAGAAGGACACGCTGGTGACGTTGTTTGACAACCGGACGTGGGCCAAGCAGGAGCCCAGTGATGAATTTGAGTACATGGGCATCCTGGAGGCCTGGCGACATCCCCGCTCCAACGTCTTCATCACCCTCGTTGTCTTCATCCTCATGAAGGTGGGTACATCCTCCCGCATGCCACCAGGGAGGTGCTGGATGGGAGCCACCAAGGTGCTCCTGGGAGACAGTGGGTGGCTGCTCCTGCGGCCACCAACGTGGTGGCTGGGTGCCACGAATATGCTGTCAAGGAGATCTTGGCAGAGAGCAGCTGGGGTGCCACCAGAGAGTGCTGGCGGGGTGCCCCTGGCGTGGTGCCATGCCAGCTTCCTGCTCTAGGGCTGGTGCTGGAGGAGAGCCAGCCCAAGGGGATGGCAATTAACATGTGCTCATATCCCCCATGCAGTTCTGGATGTCAGCCCTGGCTACCACCATCCCTGTGCCCTGTGGGGCTTTCATGCCGGTCTTCGTCATTGGTGAGGGACAGGGTCACCTGATGTCTCCTGGTGGAGGGACACGGCGCAGGTGTAGGAATGGGGTTGGGACCTGGGAGAGGCCCATGGCCTCCACAGTCTCCCTCTGTGGGCAGGGGCAGCCTTTGGGCGGCTGGTTGGGGAGAGCATGGCAGCCTGGTTCCCTGATGGGATCCACACCGACAGCAACACCTACCGCATCGTGCCAGGGGGCTACGCCGTGGTAGGTAAGCACGGCACCCTTCCCATCCCCATCTCATCCCATCCCTACTTGATCCTTCCCATCCCCCTCCCAGAGAGCTGCTGGTGTCCCTGAGTGCCTCCCATCAATGGGATTGTCCTAAGGATGTCCCTAGGGTGTGGGACACAGCCCCATGAGACAGCTGCCCATGTCTCCTGGGGCTGGCAGGGGCGGCCGCACTGTCGGGTGCTGTTACCCACACTGTGTCCACCGCCGTCATCGTCTTCGAGCTGACGGGGCAAATCTCGCACATCCTGCCCGTTATGATTGCTGTCATCCTGGCCAACGCGGTGGCCCAGAGCCTCCAGCCCTCCCTCTACGACAGCATCATCCGCATCAAGAAGCTGCCCTACCTCCCTGAGCTGGGCTGGGGGCACCATGAGTGAGTGTCCCCACATCCCCAACCACAAGCGCTCTGTGGCACCGTGCTGAGGGCATTTCCCCGGGCAGGAAGTACAACATGCGGGTGGAGGACATCATGGTGCGGGATGTCCCCTACGTCTCTCTCAACTGCAAGTACCGGGACCTGCAGCATGTGCTGCAGAGCACCAAGATGAAGAGCTTGGCACTGGTGGATTCAGCAGGTAAGAGGCACATGGAAGCTTCTCCATCTTTCCACAATGTCCCTGCAGCGCTGTTCCCTGCAACGTGTCCCCTCTCGGTCACAGAGTCCATGATCCTGCTGGGCTCCATTGAAAGGGCACAGGTGGGGGCCCTGCTGGGCCACCAGCTGCATCCCCAGCGCCGGCTCCAGGCCCTGCGGCAGAAGGCATGGGCGAGCGCTGATGACGGGCGCCGGTTTTCCGAAGCCAGCGTCTGCTTCCATGTGAGGGACCGCCCTCGGGTCCCCCCATCAAGGTGTCTTTGCCTCCCTGACCCCATCCCTTCCCTCCCACAGATCAGCACTGAAGCTTCCTCCTTCACTCCCACACGCAGCGGATCCCGCAAGCCCCTAAAGCCAGCATTGAAGCGGGTGCCCAGCGTCCCTGCCGACGGCCCCCCAGGTGACTCAGCACCCCACAGCCCCCTTGGGAGCCCGCTGCCCCACGCTGACCCCTCTGCTTCCTGCAGCCAGTGCCACCGACAGCTCCAGCATCGCCCTCAAGAGCCTCTTCTGTGCCAACAGTGCTGCGGAGCCTGCTGAGGTGAGCACCCGTCCCTGCTTGTCCTCAACTACTCCCATCCCATGCCTCTCCATCCCTTCTCCAGGCCCTTCCTGTCCCTTACCATCCTGATCACCATCTCTCTCCCCTGCCTGACCCTGCCTGTCCTTTTCCATCCACGGTTGACCCTTTCCACCCCATCCCATCCCTACTTGACCCTTTCTGTCCCAGTCTCTTCCCCACATGACCCTGCCTGTCTCTATTTGCCCCATCCATCCCATCCCATCCCATCCCATCCCATCCCATCCCATCCCATCCCATCCCATCCCATCCCATCCCATCCCATCCCATCCCATCCCATCCCATCCCATCCCTATTTAACTTTTCTCATCCCATCCCATCCCACTCCATCCCGTTCCTACTTGACCCTTCCCTTCCATATCCATTCCATCCCTATTTGACCCACCCCATATCCACCCCTATTTGCCCTATCCCATCCCATCCTGTCTCTGCTTGTCCCAGCCTGGCCCCCCTCCATGCCATGCCCCCTAACACCATCTCTCCCGCATGGTGCCAGGCGCAGGGCCAGGCCCCTCGCAAGGCCAAGCACGTCCGCATTTCCGTAACGGTAAGCTGCAGCCAATGGCAGCCTGGGCAGAGCTGCTCTCAGCCAATTGGAGGCCAGCCTGAATCCTCTCAACCAATCATGGCCTGGCACGATTCCACTTGGCCAACCACATTTGGTCTGTGTCTGTGTAGACAATCTCAGATGCGTCCCGATTTCTGCTTGGCCAATTAGGGCGCGGGAACTTTCAATCCCAAATCTGCTTGGCCAATCTTAGCATGGATCCTCTCAGCCAATCACAGCAATTGAATTTCCCTCACTTTCCTTCACCAATCACAACCCAGGCTGCTTTCTCTTCACCAATCACAACCTGGGCATGCCCAATCACATTCTCCCACATCACCCCATTGTGCACGCCCGGCACGGCGTCACCCCACCTCTCTCACAGGAGGACCTGGACCTGGGGGACAGGATGACACCGGCAGAGGTGAGCCCAGGCCGGGGGATTGCCTCTGGGGCTGTGCCATGGGGCTGAGTCCCACAGCGTGCTCCCTGTGCCTCAGATCCTGGACTGGGAAGAGCAGCAGCTGGAGCAGAACGTGGACTTCAGCAGCACCCAGATTGACCCCGCACCCTTCCAGCTGGTGGAGCGCACCTCTCTGCACAAGGTGGGTCCCTGCTGCATCCCCCCACCCCAATTCCCCACTGCGTACCCCACTGAGCCCCCTGTTTTCCTACAGACCCACACCATCTTCTCACTACTGGGCTTGGACCACGCGTACGTCACCAGCATCGGGCGCCTGGTGGGCATGGTGTCCCTCAAGGAGGTGAGGATGGGGGGCAGAGCACAGGGACAGGGATACCCCATTTGCCCACTGATGACACTGGGGTGCCCCACAGCTGCGCAAAGCCATCGAAGGCTCACTGACCGCCAAGGGGGTGAAGGTGTTGCCACCGCTCGCCAGCTTCCGCCGCAGCAGCACCAGTGCGGGTGAGCTGGACACCACCGACCTGCGCCAGCTCTGGGACCGTCACCAGCACCACCCCATGCCCCGTGAGGCCGGCCCTGATGATGGGGACACCAGCAAGTGACGGTGACGCCAAACCCCTACCCTGTGTCGGGGGTGCTGCGGGGGCTCCCTATGGGGGACATGGGCATCCTCCTTTCAGTGCCATGGGGTGGCCAGGTGCCCCCCCAACCTGCCCATGCCCCGAGGCTTCCCCTGTTGCTACCTCTGCCCCCTCCCAGCCCCATCGCCTCCCAGCACGGCCGCAGCCCCCATGGGCACTCTAAGCATTTGGTCGAGGGACATGGGGACAAGAGAAGTCATCGCCGCCTTCCCAGTGCCTCGGTGCCAGGAATGGGGACCCTGCAACCCCGCCACTGTGCATCCCCCTGTGTAAATACAGAGATTTTTATATTAATTTAATTAAAGAACTTTATAAACAGCCACCTTGCCAGAGCATGGAGGTGTGCAGGGGGCACGGAGCCCCAGGGCACGGTCACCATTACTGTCCCCGTGCCGTCCCTGCACTCAGTGTTGCCTCGCTGCGGTACAGCGGCTGCGGCGTCTCACCGGGACGGGCACCGGCACGGCGCCAGGCGGTGATGACCAGCATGCCGGCGTCGGTCAGGGCACAGCTCACCGATAGAGGGTCCGTGTCCTCAGGCAGGCGGCACTGGTGGGTGAAAGTGTCGCACACCGTGCCGTCCTCTGCCACCTGCATGGCACAGTGGCATCAGATGGTCATGTGTGGTAGGCGGGCAGCAGGCTGCTTCCCAGTTAGCCAGGTACAAATGATGGGGATATCTGGGGAGGGAGGGAGGAAGGGGTCCTCACCTTCTCAGCCCAGATGGCAACGTGGCCGTTGGAGGTGGTCACCACAATGTCAGGAGGATCGAACTGGCTGACGTCGGCCACCACCTGGTAGGTTTCACCCTGCACCTGCACCCATGTGCCCAGAGTGTAGGGGCACACGGTGCCCGGGGAACCTGCAGGGATCAGGAATAGGCATAACATGCAGGGAGTGGGAGGTGAGGGGGAACTGGGGGGGTTGAGATCACTGGGGGGACTTCAGGGAGAAGTGGGGAAGGGAATATGGGGTGGCCTGAGGACAGGGGGACACATAGGGATGGCCAGAAAAGTCTGGAGAAAGAAGGCTGGGGGGGGGGGGGGGGGCTGTTGCTGTGGCTCTGGAAGGGCGAATGGGAGCATCTGGGTCACCTTGAGGATCTGGGTGCACAGGGGCTGGGGGGATGTAAGGGCACTCAGGAAGATTGGGGCTGGGGGAGAAAGAGGCATGAGGGTGTCTGGGGGCACTGAGAGGCTCTGTAAGATTTAGGGAGGGGAGAACAGGGGACACCGTGAGCCTGGCGACCCTGGGAAGCCCTTGAAGGGACTTACCTGGGGGGGTGGGAGGGGAGATGCAGGACAGTCCGTGGGGAACTCAGGCTGGCAGTGCCTGAGCACAGGGCAGCAGGCTGCATTTTGGGGTCCCCCATCCCAAACCCCATACCTGGGTACCTGAAGGTGTCGTAGTGGTACCTCTCCCCCTCGAAGCGGGGCTCGCCGGCACCCAGCCCCTGGCTGTAGGTGCTGATGTGCTCAGCACGGTACGTAGCAGCTGAGCTGAGCGATGCCATGTCACTGTGCCACTGCCACCGCCCAACCTGTCCCCAATACCCCGCACAGGGCAGGGGGATGGCCAGGCGCCTGCTGCCACATGCCCATAATTAGCCCGGTAGCCTGGCCAGGAATGCGAGATAACGGCCGAGGCCTCTCTGTCACCCTATGGGGGGACATGCAGGAGACGCTGCTGTCACCGCCATCCTGCCACCCCACCAGGGCCCCTCTCCTGCAAGCAGACGCAGCTGTGCAGCACTCACACCACCGATTTTATTGGAGGGCAGGTGGGATGGAGGCAGGGGCAGGGGGACCCTCGCATGGGGTAGATCCCGGCACCCCATGGAGATGTACCCATGTGCACGTACCCCTCAGAGGTGTATGCACACAAATACCCCTTTCTCCCCATCCCACTGTAGGTTTTGGGGCCAGGATCCCTGGGTCCTGCTCTGGGTTGCTGATGTCCCTATACGTGGTGGTGGCACAGGGGTCAGGGGGCAGGGAGCCCCTCATCGTGGCATCAGCCTCCCCCGGCAGCTTGGTCATGCAGAGGTGGGGGTCCCACGACAGGTGGCACAGGGCAGAGTTGGGGGTGTGTGGCAGCATGGGAGCAAAGGGCACTGGGGGGTGCAAGGATGGGGGGGGTGGCAAGGGGTGGCATGCAGTGGGCAAGTGGCCCCACAAGAACAAGTGCCATGCAGGAAGGGAGGGCAAGCGTCAATGAAAATTGGCATTCCTTCCCCCAAACGGTGTGCCCGGACAGCTGGGGGTCCTGTACTGGAGTGTCAGCCCTCCAGATACAACGAGGGGGGGCGACCACCTCCGTGTAGGCACTTGGTTCCCTGCTAGGGGTGAGCAACTTGGGGGCAGGGACATCAGTCATGGGTCCTGTCACACCTCCCGGGTTGGCCCACAGCAGACCTGGGGGCCCCCACCGTAGGGCTGGTTGGGGATACTCCCACGGGGGGGGTGTCATGCCCATCCCACTCCCACCTGCAGCCTCCCCATGTCAGCCTCCACATGCATACAAAAGCATAGAAACCTCCATCACCGTGGCACATGGGCACCCCCCCGGCCCCCTCCTGAACCCCGTGTCCAAAGGCAGCAGTTCACAGTATAAAATTCATCAGAGAGCAAGAAGAGCCTCTGTGCCCCAACTCCCACCCCCAGCCCTGGTCCAGAGTGGGGGCACTGTGGGCTTAGCCCAGAAAGGTTCAGCTGTGCCAACAGGGTGGGGGGGCTCAGTGCCCACGAAGGGGTGGCGAGGGGATGCATGCGGACAGCCAGCCCCACAGCTTCAGGTCCCATCAGTCCTGGGGGGCACGGTGCTGGGGAGAGGCAGAGTCCATCACGGCTCTTCAGCCTCCTCCTCCTCCTCCTCCTCGTCCTCCTCCTCGTCTTCCTCCTCCAGTGACACCACCCCAGACGAGGCAACATCAGAGATTTTGCGGCGGAGCGTGAAGTCCTTGCTCAGCACCACCTCGTCCTCGGCAGGCGAGAGGCAGGCCTCGGCATAGGGCATGGGGGACAGCGAGTCCTGGCAGCGGGGCCATACCAGACCCCGCAAGGCACTTTGGCTGCTCGGGGGGGGCAGCTCACCCCCCAGGGAGCCCAGCAGTTTGGCAGTGAGTTCGGAGGGGGACACCATCTCCAGGCTGCAGAGGCTGGAGCAGAGGGTTTCGGGGGACAGCGTGCGCGACGAGTCACTCTCAGGCTCACAGGAGCCGTGCCGTGCTCCCAGCTGGCACAAGTGGCCCCGCAGCAGGTCCCGCAGCAGCGCCGCACTGGGATGATGCTCTGTGGGAACAGCGGTCAGCCCCATAGCCAGGAATCCCAATGACTGCCAGCCCCATGATGGCACCATGGGGAGTCCTGGCAGCAGGACACCGTCCCCAATCCACAAGTCCCCAGGGTGCTCACCGGCTGGCAGGGAGCTCTCTGAGGATGGCATGAAGTCCTCATCGTAGGACTCGTCGTTGGAGTCGTCCCCATCCACTGAGGACCAGGCACGCAGCTTGGCCTCAGCGATGGCAAACTGCTCTGCCACGCCTGGCACAGGACAGTGTGGTCACAGTGGGAGGTGGCACAAACCCCCACACAGCCAGCAGTGAGAATGGGGGAGACATCAGCACAGCAGGGACAGCATGCCTAGGATAGGGCATCTCATCCCATGGGCAGGATGGATGGATGGATAGGAACATGGAGGTGGATGGCAGATGAATGGGAACATGAGGACAGGTGGTTGGAGACATGGGAATAGATGGAGGGATGAGAAAGAATGGATGAGTGGGGACAAGAAGAATTACGGGTGTTTGGGTGGGTGGGTGGAAGGAGGGATGGATGAGTGGGTGGGTGAAGACATGGGAGGGATGGATGGAGGATGGATAGAAGATGGATGAGCAGGGGCATGGGGGTGAATGGATGAGTGGGGACATGGTGATGGATGGATGGGCGGATGGGTGGATGGATGCACGGAGACTCCACGCAGTGCCCACCTGCAGCGAAGCGTGCCTCCTGCTCGCCCTCGCTCAGGTGGCAGTAGGAGTTGAAGGCGCTCTCCAGCGCAGCGGGTGGCTCCACGGGTTTGCACCAGCCCTTCCACTCGATGAGGTGTGCGACGCGGCCCTGCGCCATGGCAGTTGGCTTCGTCACATGCTCCTTCACCACCTGCGAGATGCCTGGAGCAACGCCATATCAGTACCACAGGGACGATGCAGGGACCCCACCGCCCTCCCTCCCTCCCGCCCCCGTTTCCCAGGGCAGTTACCATGCAGTGAGGAGCGGGCCAGGGCGGCGATTTCCTGGATGGTCAGCGCACGCCGCGACTTGGGCAGCATCTCGACAGTGTCTTCAACATTGACCTGTGTTGCGGGCAGGGGTGTCACGCCGTGCATGCACTAAGTGCCCGCTCCCATCGCTGTGGTGATACACACGTGCACTTGTACTGATGCGCATGCAGCTGTTGTGCCTGTACACTTGCATATATGCACATGTGCTCCGCTCTCTGCAGTTGGTGCGACCGAGCGCGGCTCACGCATTGCACACGCACATGTGCAAGGTTGTTGGTGCACCCGCTGTGCTGGGGCATCCCTTCCCAATCCCCGTGCCCACGGCCATGGGGAAGTGATGTGGGATTTGGAGGCGCGCAACAACTCGTATTGCCATGGCAACGCGGCGCCGTGGACTGATTTCTCCCAGGATACAGCCCAGCTCAGGGCTGACGTCAGAGCCGGCTGTGAGCCGGTTGTGGGGCCGGGCAGGGCGGGCAGCGGGGCCCCGGTGCGGCGATACCTCGAGGAAGTCCTGGCTGTCGAAGGAGGCCTGGCGCAACAGGCGGGGCAACGGGGCCGGTCGGGCGGCTCGCAGCGGGGACAGTGCTTTCACCTCCTTCCACTCCACGCACAGGGTCGTGTCCACGGCCACTGCGGGGAGAGCTCAGTGCCTCCATCTGCCCAGCTGAGGCCGGGTGCATCTCATTGCACGGAGCGCCGGCGCTGCGGCACTGGGTGACTCACGGCCAGGCAGCTCTTCCGCCTGTGTCAGCGGCACCAGGCTGGCACCAGGAGTGGGAACACGGCCTGCCTTGGCCCGGGTTGTGGGAGCTCAGGATGCACGCGCCCAGGAACGGGGATGGGGTGGGAACAGTGCGGGTGGCGGCACTCAGCCAGGTGTCCCTGGGATGGGGCCAAGGCAGGTAGGATGCCGATGGGGTTGGGGTAGAGTTTAGGGTTTGGGGAGCTTGGGACAGGCTGTTATGGGGGGGGGTGTGCTTCTGCACCAGCTCTACGGCCCTAAACAGGGGGGGTACCCACCTCCCCCAGCATTGACAGCCCCAGCATCGGTGTTGGGGGGGGTTTCCCAATGCACCACAGCTCCTTAGCAGGCAGTGGACCCCAGGGGCTGGGGAAGAGCCTCATTTCCTTGCTCTGAGGCATATCGGGCTGATGTGAGGTGGCCATGGGGTGGGATATGGAGGGGGCAAAGAGTGCTCCTCAACCCAGCCTGGCTTCAGGGGAAGCTGCTGATTACTCCCCTCCCCCAAATCTGCTATGGGCAGAGGCACCCCTGGGTGACCCCCCCCAGCATAGACACCCCCAGGACAGCCCCACCATGTCTGTACCAGCCGCAGCCTGGGGTCACCACTCAGCCCTGCAACCACCCATTGCCTCCACCTCTGTCAGCCCCCATAGCCCCCCAGAGCCCAAGTAAATCCCACCAACTCTCACAGGTTCCCACACCCCCACAGGCCCCTGAGAAATACCCTAGCCCATAACTCTTGCCCAACCCCTGAACCCCAAACAGCCCATGGCTCCCCCACAGCCCTGCATAGCCTCCCACCTACCCATCATTCCTTCTCTGTCCTCACTCCCTCCCTAAGCCCCTTGACTCCTCTCAAGCAGCATCCCTAAGTCCTCTATGCCCCCTCAAAAACTCCCTTATAGATTCCAAGTCCTCCGCTACCCCCAGATTCTCCATATCCCTCCAGTGACCCCCATTCCTCTATAAATTCCCAAGCCTCCCAGCAACCGTGAGATACCCATATCCTTCCCGTACTGCGTACCTATAACTCTCTGCACCCCCTCCCCAAACCCTACAGTCCCCACAACTCTCCACACCCCACAACCACCCCACACTCTCCTCGCCGCATCAGCCCCACCCCCAAAGCTTCTAGCATCCCCAAAAGCAGCCTCCCCATAACCCATGCAACCCCCCCACGCCTCCAAGACCCTGTACGTTCCCTATACCCCCCCCCCTCGGCTCCAAACACGCCCCCCCCCCCCCCCTCCCCCGCAGACCCATCCCGGCGACGCTCACCCACCGATGGTGGTTTTGGAGCCGATGCAGCCCATGCTCCCGGGGGGGGCCCCGGTGCGGGCACTACCGCCGGCTCCGTGCCGTCCGCATCGCCCCCCGACCGCATGGGCGGCCCCAGGCGGTGCCCGCAGCCCCTCCGGGACGGTGACACCGGGCCCGGAGCCCCGAACGGTGCTGTGAGCCGGGCCGGTACCGGGCACGTCCAGAGACGTCACTGCTGAGGGAGGAAGAGGAGGGAGAGAGGGGAGGCGGGGAGACGGGGAGGAAGAGGAGGAGAGGGAGGAGGAGGAAGGGAGGGAGAGGAAGGCAGAGGAGAAGGAGAGAGGAGCGGAGGGATGAAGGCAGATGGAGGATGGAGGAAGGAGGGGGGGAGGGGGGGCGGAGGAAGAGGAGGAGGGGGAGGGAGGAAGACGAGGAAGAGGAGGAGGAGGAGGATGGGAAGAAGGCCGGACACCGCGGAGAGCGCCGTGCCAGCACCGCGGACAGCGCCCGCCCCAGAGAGCAGCCCGGGCACCCCGGAGAGCCGCAGAGCGGGGGACCCTCCGGCACCGGCGCCCCCCGGAGCTGAGCTGGAGGCCGCACTGTACGCCCCAAACCTCGAGCTGCCCGCCGCAGGCAGAGGGCTGCTCACCCTGGAACCTACTGCCGGCACTGCCGGGTGCCGCCCCTGCCCGAGGGACCTCGGACCTCGCCGGCTCCTGGGCAGGGGGAGCCCTACGGCCAAGGCTCCCAGGAGCCCTGCTCAGCCGTTCCCTGCCAAATGTTTCCCAGCATTAAGCGCTGCCAGGGCTGCAGCTCGGCCAGATCAGCCTCTAATCTGGGGAACAGCCTCTGGTTAATTATTCTGGGCCCTCCAGGCTATGGCCAGGGTGACTCAGCAAGCAGCAGCCCAACATAGACAACACCAGCCCCAGATAAAGCCAACCCCACACCAGGGGCCACCTCGACCCCAGGACACCCCACAGTGACCTGCATCCCGAGCCATCATCCAGCCTTGCCTCCATGTCCACTGCAAGACTGCAAAGGGTGCAGAGAGAAAATCCCCCAAGATAAAAAGCGTAGGAGCAGCCTACTGTATCTCTTCCCCTCCTGCCACAGAACTGCTCCAAACCAGACCCTCCAGCTCCTGCCACCTCCATGCCCACAGGGAGAGGGATACATGGTGCTTGGGAATGGGGAAATTGTCCCCTGTGTGTTAGTGCTAAGGCCCGTTCCCCCCTGTGCCCCATGAACAGCAGGGTCTGGGGACACGGAGCAACATTCAACCCTGGAGTGCTGAGCAGCCCATGCCTCCCTCCCAGCCCCAGGAGGGAGGTACCTACCATCTGCCTTGGGGTGGCTCTCCATGGGGTATCCCCATGCCAACCCAGGGGGCAAGGGACAAAGGACAGGGGGCACAGGGCCAGGCGGCAATAGCGGCACACGGGGCATTATTTAGCAATGTTCTTTTATTTCCAGTTTTAAGGTGAAAAGATGCCTTTAAATCTTCAATTAAATACTCCATAAAGAAAAAAAAAAAAAAAGAAATAAAAGAAAGCAAAAAAAAAAAAAAAAAAAATTATTTACAAATTCACGTGACCAGTTATTGAATCCTTGTTTTAATAATTACACGTGCGGCTCGTCACATCCGGTGCTCTATAAATACAGGGGACGCAGATGCGGGGCCGCCCCGTTGCTTTGCCCAATTGTGGCCTTAAACGTTTGGGGTGGGGAGGATGGGGGCTTCAGGGGGAGGACGGGGACTGAGCCTGGCCCGGAGAGAAAGGGTCACACATTTCCCCCCTCGCACCCCCCCTCCCGCCCCCCGGCACCCTCCCCAGGTGTCATAGCAGGAGCTGGGGGGAATGATTTATATTTAAAATAAAAAACCATAGGGAGGACTCCAGGTGGTGACAGGGGAATAGAGAGAGGACAGGGGAAGGGGAGAAATCACACTCCTGTCCCCAACCCAAATTTAATAAGTTTATATATATATAATCTCTCTATATTTCAGCAAGGAAGCGGGAGGAGGAAGAAGAGGGGGGAGAGGAGGGGTGACATCCCCCCCCCATCTCACCCCTTCCCCCCCCCTCCTTGACGTAAGCCTGGGGGGCTCAGCCCCCACTCCCGGTGACACAGGGTGCTGTGCTGGGAGGGGGGGACAGAAGGGGCCTGGAGCAGACCCACAGCGACAGCCACCTCCATCAGCATCCATTTATTATCATCGTGACAAACTAGTACAGGCCTGGCCAACAGAACGGGGACGAGGGGAGGAGGGAGAGGAGAAATAGAGAGAGGGATGCTGTTGGGGGCACAGCAGATCCCTCGGCCCCGGCATGAGCAAGTCCAGGGGGCCAGGGCTGGGAAGGGATGGAGTCACACCCCACGGTGCCCCATGCTCTCCCCCCTTCCTCCTCCTCCTCCTCCTCACAGCTGCTCAGTTGTTGTCCGACTCATCCTCTGCTTCCCGGAGCCAGGTGAAAAATGCTGTCACTGATTTCAGGGCCACCCCTTTGCCCTGCTGCTCCGCTGGGTCCTTGCTGGACTCCCACTTGTAGAAGGCCTCCTCCTTGATGACGTCCTCATCATAGAGAGCATCGAAGAACATCCGCAGCAGGTCTGCATGGGATAGAAGGGAAAACCCTGCTACTCCCCAGCCAACAGCCACCTTCTGATGGCAAGGACACCCCTGCCCACCCCCCCCTTCTCCCTACATCGTCCATCCCTGTGCATGACACTCACTTGGAGGCTGGTCCAACTTCACCACCAAAGCTTGCAAGGCATACAGTGCCTGAAGCTCCTTCTGCTCATCTCGCATGTACTTCTGCAGCAGCTTGGCCCGGTTGCGGATGACCAGGGCATCCACACGGTATGGGTTCTCAACTGCAGGAGAGGAGGTGTGAGAGGGGAGCTGCAAGGACACATCAGGCCCCCACCTCCTCCCAGTACTCACAGATGATGGCTGAATGGCACACGGATGTCATCAGGGCCCTGATAAATGTGTTGGATGAGACGTGCTGCTCACTTAGGTTGGCCTGAAGGAAAGAAAGAGGGCCTGTGAGATGTTAATTGAGCCAGGAGGATGCCTTGCAGGCATTCTGCCCTCATTCTCACCTCAATCCAGTCATATATTCTTTGGTTGTTCGAGTTCTCCTTCAGCAGTTTGTCCATTTGTTTGCACAGCTCCTCTGAGGTTAGCTCCTTGCAGCTTGGCGTGTCCGAGTTGTCCCCCATTGTGTACTCCAATTTCTGGAGGACGCAAGAGAGGCAAGCTGTTAGGTGCAATACAGGGGAAGGCTGCTCCCAGCAGCAGGATCTGGAGGTCACAGTCCAGCTCTCACCTGCTCTGTGACAAATTTGTTGACATCCTGGTCCTCAGGCAGGAATTCCTTCCAGCTCAGGCCCCCGTCCCGCCACAGCTTGCCCGCGGTCTTCTGGCTCTGCAAGAAAACCTCAAGTCAGCCCTCAGTGCCACTGCTCTCCATCCTGCTGCCAGCTGCCCCGGTTCCCAGATACAGCAATGGGCATTGCCCAGCACCATTCTCTCCATGTCCAAAAGGGTTTTGATCCCTTCTACGTGCCAGCCCCAACACATAAGCTGGCAACTATGTGAGCAGCACGCACTTACCATGCCCTTGCACAATAAGCCCAGCACCTCGACCAGCAGTGTGGTGGCTTTCCCAAGGGGCACCAGGGGCTTTGTGATCTCCCTGTAGAGCACAAGCAACGTGGTTGTTTTGCACACCCCCACCAGGATCCCACAAGCAGCCCTGCAAAGGGGCACAGCCCTCACCTGAACAGCTCCTCCATGGGGATACCTTCCTCTTGCAGGATAGGTGTTATGAGCTCTGCGAGATACAGCCAGATATGTGGGATGTCGATCTCCATGTCTTCTGCAATCTCCAGGATTTCCCGCAGCCTGGAAGGCAGAGAGGAGGGCATTGAGATCCAGTGGTCCTTGCGCCCTCAGCTGGGAGGGACTTCAGGAGGGTTGAATTCAAAGGCAGGTCAAACAGCGCTTTGGGAACAAGCTGCCTCAATCCCTCACCCTTTATAGTACTGCTCCTTGGAGAGCGTGCCAGCCTTCACCAGGTGGCACAGCAGGACGCCCATGTGCTCGCGGGAGATCGTACTCCGCTCAAGCGTGGACTCGATGCCATTCCGCACGAAGACATAGAGCAAGGAGGGGCTGCCCAGCTCCTGCACACACTGCAGGGCTTCCTGTGGGGACAGAGGGGTCAGTGCTGCCCCACAGCCAGCCCCTGCTCCCCGCTCCTCATCCTGGCACTGCCAGCAACCTGTCCAACAGCAGTGCTGCCTGGAGAAGCGGATGACATCCTGTGGGTGCCTGGCCACCTCCTCTTCTCACCTTCATATCATTGATGTGCAGATATTCCTCTATGATCGCCTTAGATTTCTTCTCCAGCTCCTCCTCTGACAGCATGGGTTTGGGTGATGCCGCAGGAGGTGCTGGCTCTTGTTTAACTGAGGAGAGTAAAAGCATCAGGCACCGCTTGGGTCCGGCAGAGCCTCAGCCCGCAGCCGGATCCCAAGGAACCTCTCCTCCCCAACTCACTCGTCTCTCGGCTCCTGTCCCGTTCCTCTGACATGCTAGCAGTCTTGCGCACAGCCTCAGGGCCACTCTGCTTTTCCCGTTCTCTGCTCCTGTCCTCTGTCTCTTTGCTGAAGCTCCTCTTGGTGACGGCAGACCTGTTCCTCTCTCCCCGCTCTCCCCGATCAGGACGCTCCAGACGGTCACTGCTCTTCTCTGAACGTGACTCCCGGTCCCCTCTGTCCCCAGCCTTTTCTGACCTGTCGCGGCTAGAGCTGCCCCTGGATGGGAAGAGGAAGGACAGTGTGAAGAAGGCCATTGCCACGCTCCTCTGACCCCAAATTCTGCAGAGCTATGCAAGGCAACACTATCCCACTTCAACTCCCAGCCCTCTCTAGTTCCTCCTCTACTACTTGACAACCCTCATGGGTAGAGACTCCCTGTCACATCACAGGTCCATTGCCATCCTTTGCTCTGACCTTCAGCAATGCTGAGGGCAGTCTGGCTCCATCCTCCCCATACCTTCCCTTGCTGCAGTAGGCTTTTCCTTCTCCTGACTGAACAAATCCAAGTCTCTGGGATCTCTCATTTCAGCTCCAATTATCCCCGAGTCTCTGTAAGAATCCCTCCAGCCCATCCCTGGATGCCTACTCCAGGTAGCCCGAGGCTGCACTCCGCACCCAAATGCGATCCTCTGAGTGCCAAGCTACAGCAGAAAGATCTGCCTTCCCATTTCTGGTGGCACCTGGGCTTGTGCAGCTCAGGATGAGGTCTGCCTTTCCCACAAGAATGCAGTGACCCCATATACCAAGCCCATGCCTGCAGCCCCATCCTGCCACAGAGAATGACTCCAGTCCAGACATCAGATTCCATTTATCCACACGCCAACTGACCACTACCCAACCTGGAGAATTTTCCCCAGCCCACCAGAGCAGCACACTCACCTCTGCACCACGCGACGGGACTCTGGGCTCTCAGCAGGGGTGGACTGCTGGAGTGCTGAGAAGCGGTTCAAGGTGCTCGTGGCCGGTCGCCCTGAATCAGATGCTGGGCGTGAAAAGAGGGGAGCCTCAGAGTTCGGCACATCCCCGGCACAGGAAGCGCTGGGAGAAAGGGTTCCCATTCCCACTCAATGGCACCACTGAGCTGGCCCCACACCACCTACCTGAATCTGCAGGCTTTGCGCCAGACCCTCCGCTACTGCCCTTGCCCCAGCTCAGCCGCCCGCCTGGTGCAAAGAGCTGGTTGTTGGAGTCGATCAATCCAGGCTGAAGGCAGAGAACAGTCAGCTCCGGGCCCTGCACCAAGACTGTGGGGCCAGGCAGCCCAACAACGTTCCCCCCAGCCTCACCTTGGTGATTTTCGTTAGCCGGGTGGTGTCGATAGGCCGATTGCCCTTGCTGATGGGCACAGTGTTCCAGCCGTCATCTGCAACCAGGCTACTGCGTCCACCTGGGCACAAGGAGACAGAGATCAGGCACAGCCCTACCTCAAGCAGTGAGCAGAAAGAGCAACCTGTCTCTGGTGGCCTTAAGTCACTCACCGCTGATAGATGGTCCAGGAGGTCCTCTCCTTTTGTCTTTTGACATGAGCTGCTGCACTTTGATGTGTTCCCGATGCTCCTCCATCTCTGCCTCTTTGTGGATCTGGTCGATGGTTTTGGGTCCCTGATCTCCTCGCCGTGGTACCCAGCTATTCTGCAGAGGGCAGAGGAGCAGGGCAGGGGAACTCAGACAGCTGGAGGACAGAGGCATTCCCCCTTCCTATCTGTCCAGTCCCCAAAGCCCACCCACCTCAGCCACCACAGCTCCCTGCATGCTGTGGCAGCTTTTGGCACAAAAGGGCTCCGTTTCGGGAGCTCCCTGCATTAAACAGCCGCCAGTTACTGTGCGCCCACTACTGCTGCCATGCTAACCAAGGGCTGGGAGCTAGCATGGTGTCTCTGGGGCTGGCCACAGCTTACATACCCACGTCTCTGCTCTCAAGGATACACAGACTGCTGGCACTCACAGGACAGACCAGCAGCTCCACGAAACAAAGCAGGGGACAGGCCTTACCCGCCTGAGATCAATCACATCCTGCAGCATAAAACGGATTCGGGATGATGTCTTCTTCTCCTTGATGATTTTCTCCATCTGGTTGAAATACTGGTCCATTCTGGGCTGTAGGGGCACAGGATCACGGTCACACTCCTTCTAAAAGCAGGGCAGAGCATGATGGGGCAGGGCAAGGAGTACCTTGGCCTTCTCAAAGTCCAAATCCTTGCCAATGGTTGTAAGCAGGCGGCAAAGGCACTCAAGAGACTCCTCATCATGGTTTTTGAGCAGCTTCACCACGCAGTCATGCATGATGGCCTCCGTCAGCATCTTCAGTTTGAAGAGCTCTCCAATGAACTTGATGTTACCCAAGGACCGCCTTCGGGCCTTGTCCCGCGCCTCCTCCAGCTCATCCTTCATGCGTGCCTTCTCTTCAGGCTGCAAGGGTCACACCAGCGCAGGTTAGAGCTCTGAGCCACCTGAGGGCATGGTACCAGCCCCCAGCCGAGCTTCCAGCCCAACTCACAGCACTGGCATCATCCATTTCTTTCTGCCGCTTCTCAAAGATCTCGTCGTCATCCTTGTCCTTCTCAAACTCCTTCTGGCAGCGGTTGAGCAGCAGCTTGCGGAAGTTCACAGTCACTGTGGGCTTGTCTGTCGTGGGCACTTTGAGCTGCAGGGAGAAGTACAGCCCAGAGGAGCGTGAGTTGTGCCTCCCACAAAATCCCCAACACCTGGTTACTGCTTAAAGCAGAGAAAAAACATTTTACCTCTTTGCGATGCTGTGCCACAATTCTTTGCTCAGCCTGCCAGCCACACACCCCATTTTTCCTCATATTAGAGGTAAACTGCCCACCCCATGCAGAGGCATTGGCACCCTACAGAGCTTGGCCAAAAGTCCTGAACAAATCCCAGGCCCCCAGCCCCTGCTCACCCCCATAAGGCAACGGCACATGTTAGCGTAGGCAACAGAGAAGTTTGGCTCCGAGATGGCTTTCTCGAAGACAAGGTCAATGACACCCTTGAGTCTCTCCTCCGTGTCGATGGACAACTCCATCACCTGCTTCATCAACTGCTGGAACATCTGGGGTGTCAGCTTGTTGAGGATGCTGCGGACGCGGCGAAGCAGTTCCTGTAAGGACAACAGGGTCAGCAACAGTCAGGTACATCTCCCCGCCCTCCTCAGTGGGCACCGGGTGCATCGCCTGCCTGCCTCTGACTCCTACCTGTGTCTTGATGTTCTCAGGATCCTCCTCCTCAGAGGCACGCTTGCTGCTGGGTTTCCAGGCCTTCTCAGCCTTGTTCAGCTTGACATCCTCATTGAGGGACACAGTGGCAATGATTTTACGGGGTTCCTTCCTCTGAGTCTGCTGCGAGCGGCGAGGACCCAACCCTGAGGGCTGACACAGGAAGAAGGAATTCAACTCTTTGTTCCAGTCCTTCTAGTGGACAGGCCAGGCCAGCAAGCTCCTGTGACATTCCCATCTGCCTGCTCAGATCCTCAGTTCCATCACTGACGTCAGTGGCCCAGACACAGTGGCTCGAAGGCTTGATCATCACAGAGAGGCAGGGGGGTTCAGCATGGCAAAAGGAGGAACAGGCAGATACTCACCAGGCCCCGGTTGCCCATGACAGGCCGCCCAAGGTTGGCAAAGGAGGGGGTGAAGTCAGGGCTGCAGTTCATGCCGCTGAGGCGGATGGGGTCGAGTGCCCGCAATGGGGTCTTGTTGGCCTGCGAAGGTACACAGGGCTGAGGATGCCCGGGGGGGCAGAGGAGGAATGGATCCATCCCCCAGCCTCAACGCCGGGACAACGAACTGGAAAAATGGCCCCAAAGAGCTTCCCATGCCTCTCCCTCTGCTTTGCTCACATCACAAGTGCTGCAGCAGGACCCAGAGCACAGCAGATGGTGCAGAGCAGAGGTGCCCAACCCCCAAACCCCAATTTCCAGGACCGCACCAACCTTGTCCAGGACCACATCTGTGATCTGGGGCAGCCCCTCAGGTTTCTGCATGCTGGCAAAAATGAACTGGAAGCCCAGCAGGAACTCCCGGTCATACCGCTTCTTCTCCTCAGGATTCAATGGCTTCCACTGCTCTGCAGTGGGAGAAAAAAAAGGGACTGTGATGTTGGGGAGCTGGGGCTGAGACAACCACAGAGCTGCCCTGCCCTGGCACCCCATAAACACAACCCTGCTTGCTTAGAGAGCCTGATGCCACCAGCTTCCTGCTCAAGACTCAAGTGCCAGAGCCTCTGTCCCCAGCACTGTGGAAAGTCTGAGGACAAGACAGGAGGAGCACATGGTCCTTACACGACAGCTGGCCCATGCCACCCAGAGCCTCCCCATCTCTGGAGCCTGAGTTGGTGTTTCCTATCAGAAGCCTCATAGGCCCAGGCAGAGCTCACCTTCCTTGTAGCGGTACTTCTGGTCCCCAGCCTTGCCCTTCTCTGGGGCCAGCTTGTCCTCCTTCTCCTCCCACGTCTCCTCTGACTCCTCCTGGGGACGGGCGGGGGCTGCGTCCTCTGTTTCACGGGCAGGCATGGGAGGGGGAGGCTTGTTTTCCACTTCTGAGGCACTGTCGCTGATCTGAGACTACACCAGGAGAGGGATGTGGAAAACAGTCACACTGAGAGTCCAGCCCTACCCTTCTGTCCTACACCAGGTGTCCTGCCCCCTCAGATCCTCTTTACCATCACAGAGCATCAGTGGCCCAGACACGATGGCACAAAGTAGAATTCATCACAAGAAGGGATGGGACGCAAAGAGATCCTCAGGTGCCTTGGGACACTCACCTCTTTAAAGGCATCCAGCAAATCGCCTACTGCCTCCTTCTTGTTCAGCTCCTTCATCCTTCGCTTTTTCTTTGGCACCGACACAGCAACTAGCAAAGAGGCAAAGACATGAGGGCTGGGCACCGACACAGCGTCCGCACGACCCAGTGCCAGCTCTGGGATCACTGGTGAGGCCCCAGTAGCACTGAGCAATATGAGAACAGGATCCTTTCACAGCCCATTCCACCCACTATACCGATGCACCGATGGCTCACAAACAGAGCACCACACAGGGACTCCGTACCTTTCCCTATCCACACCCCTGCTCACTTTGTGCTATAATGCAGCACCACATTCCACACCACTCCCTAGCCTCGGGGGGTCCCCATCCTCACAGCACTCCTGCCCCTGCTCAGGGTTGTGCACAGAGATGCCCCATCTCCCTTACACAGACACTGCTGTGTGTACCTCTCCTCCCATACACACCACCCCAGGATGCACGAGCATCCAAGCAGACCTATGTACTACCTCACAGATACGCTTCCCCAAAAACACATCCACCCCATGCCTTCCTAAGAAAACCTGTGCTTCTACAACCCATAATTCTATGGATATGCCCTGTCTCCCCCACCCAACCCAAGGGTGCACGAACCTCCTTTAGCCCCCTTGTTTAATTTCCACACATCTGCCTGGAGTGCCCCCAAAAAACAAGAATATAGAGCATCTTCCCCCACCACAACCCCAAGGCACCCCATTTTCCTCTCAAGGGTTCCTATATACTTTCCAATCCTTGTAATTTTACAGTCTGTCAGAAGCACATCTCCATCCATCCAATACCCATCCCCAGCACACACCTCCAAAGTCTCAGGACAGCATCAAATACAACCCCAGTACATCCTCCTCACACCAATGCTTAAGGCACCCCATACACATCCACATGCCCCAGTGTCCCCTAGCCCTGTGAGCCAGGGCACTCTCACACATCTCAAATCAAACCATACCCACATCATATCCCATGGTGATAAGCCCCATCCCCCTCTTCTACGCCTTCCCCACATCCCTATACCAAGGACCCCACCCAAATAACCCCCACAGCACCCCAAACCTTGCACAGTCGCCTCCAAGGTCTGCGACGGGGCAGGGGCAGGACTTGAGCTCCGCTCCTGGGCCTCAGCAGGGCCTTCGCTCTCTTCTTCTTCCTCCTCTGCTGGGGGGGAGGTGGGGGTGCCAGGCTGCGCTGGCTCCTCGGGCTCCGAGATGGGGCTGACATCCGACTCAGGCTGCTCCTCGCTTGGCTCCGCTTTGCTGGAGCCCTCCATCCCATTGGGCAAGGGCAGCTCTTCAGGCTGCACAATGGGGGAGTCCAGGGTGGGAGCTGGGGCGGGCACTGGGGCAGGCTCCAACACGGGCACGAGCACCGGCTGGCACACGGGTGCCTCGGGGAGCGGCTCGGGCACCTCCTCTAAGAGCCCATTGGCCTCAGCAGCAGGCTCGGCGACAGGCTCAGAGCAGGGCTCCTCCTGGGGTGGCGGGGGGCTGGGAGAGGCGGGTTTGGCGAGTGCTTCAGGGACCGGTGGGACAACGAGCGGCGGCGATGGCGCAGCTGGCACCGGGGGCACGGCTGGCATGAGGGGGGCAGCAGGCACCGATGGCACCTCAGGCAGGGCGGGCGCCTGCAATGTGGGCTCCAGGAGAGGAATGGCAACGTCTTCCTCCTCCTCTGCCACCTCCTCCTCCACCACAGCCGCCGTGTCCATGTCAGGTGGGGGCACGAGGGGCAGCTCCCCAGCCCCTGGCACTGTAGTGATAGCGCTAAACGTCTGGTGCAGGTCGGGCGGCGCCTCGCCCAGCTCCACTTTAGTGTCCGCTTCCACGGGGGGCTCCATTGGCACCAGCGTCACAGTTGACATCACCACGGGCTCCACCTCAGGGATGAGGGGAGGGGGAGGCGATGGGGACGCTGACTTGCTGGGCTCCAGGGAGACGGGTTTGCTCACCACCAGCGCAGGCTTTGGGCGGTCATCTGCAAGAGAGGAGGTGTTAGTGGGGGCTCTGACCCCTGCTGTGCCCTGATCCCCCTAAATCCCAGATCTCCATCAATAGTAGGGGAAGGGACAGATGCGCCAACCCACATTAAGCGGACAAACGGGGAACGGGGATGATGGGGGTCCTCCAGTGCCCAGGGTACAGCCAGGCCAAGCAAAGACAGTCCCCACAAACTCTCCTGGAACCAACAGTGGAAACACTGGTTTCCAGGTACACAGGGAACATGTCCGTCCCCACAAGCTCCAAGTGATCTGTGGGGCTGGCATGGGGCCTGGCACCAGCTGTGCCAGGGAGCGATGTGGCACAGCCAGGCCCCAGTGTGTGCACGTACCTGGCCGGACAATAACTGCTACATGAGGGGTTTCTCCATTGGCCTGGGGTTCCAAACCGCTTCCAGCCTAAGGGGACAAAAAGGGAGTCAAGCAGGACACCATGCATCTCCCAGCACCCCAGCTGGGAAAATGAGGGCCACCGACCTGGGGAGGAGTGGGGGTAGATGAGGTCCTTGCTCCAGACATTATTTCTTCAGTGATGTCTTTGCCACCTTGGTTGGGGTCTCGTATCCGGATCTGTCCGTAGGCCAGAGCAGAGAGAGGGGGATTGTCAGTGAGGTGGGGAAACACAGCATCCAAGGGCCACACAGCCAGTGGCATGTCCCCTCGCTACAGGGCACAGAGCCTCTCAGAGAGGGAGCTGTCCCACTGCCTAGCCAGAAGAGATGGTGCAGGGCAGGGTGCATCTCAGATGCCACCAAGCAGCCAGAGCCAGCAGGGCGTCACTGTGCTCAGAACAGTGCCTGCCTCCAGACTTGGTGGACCACAGGCAGCACCATGCTGGTAAAGGGGCTGCGGGCACCCCACATCCCTACAGTCAGTGTGGGTGCAGCACGAGCTGCAGTGCACCATGGTGGGATGCGTGGGTCCAGTACACAGAGGAGGCACGGCACTTGCTCACTCGTCTACAAACAGAACCAGCTGCCAGGTCCCAATAAAAGCACAGCCTAAGCAGCACCAATGCCTCTCCATCAGTACTCCTGGAGAAATCCCCCACCCAGCAGCACCCCCAGCCCCCCAGCTTGCAGTGCAGTGCGGGGCCAGCAGCTGCTCAGCTCCCCGCTATAAATAGGCCCTACACAAGGCCTCTGAGCACCGGCATCTCCGGGAGCAGACAGCAGTTGGCAGCCGCGGCACACCCGCCCCCCTGGAGCCATGACTCAGCACAACGCTGCCCGCTGGGACAGCCAAGGTCATCGGCACCCACCGAGCCCCCCAACCCAGGTGCACAGCCCCATACCACCCTCAGCTGGTGCGCTGCGCACCGAGCACAGCAGGCAGCCAGGAAAGAGTCGGCACAGGCAGCGTGCCCCATGCTAGGCTTGGCACCATCCCCATCTCCAGCACGCATCTCCCCCACGCCAGAGGCGCACGGCTCTTACCGTCTTGCGCTCTCGTTTTGGGGGGATCGGTGGCTGCTGGCTCACAATCACCTGAGCAGTGGGGACCCCCGCCGGGAACTGCTGCACCCCCTGGGCCGGGTAATAAGCACCCGCTGGAGGAGAGGGGAGAGCGTGAGAGGCGGCAGGTGTCCAGCGTGCATCCACCGAGTCCAGTCCTCCCACTCCCACAGATGCAGGGGGACCGCCAGGAGCTGGGGGAGCTCACACCACGCTACAGAGAACCCCAGTTGCATCTGGCCTGCATCACCCCAACCCACCCGACAGGCCTGACCAAATTCCTTCCCCATGACACGCGGCGTCCCTGCGCCGCCCCCACACCCAGCCGTGCCCACCGGCTCCAGGTCACCGCCAGTCCCTCCGGGACGCTGAACCATGCTTGGGCACAGGAGCCCTGGCTCCATGGGTGCTGCCTTCCTGCCAGCTCCCTTATCTCCCCTGGGCCAGCAGCAGTTCTAAGGGCGGCTCCACACAGCCCCATCCACGCCCTCCATTCATTCACACCCTTGGGCTCCCTACTCAGACCCCTGCGAATTGAGTTCATAGCACTGAGCGGTGCTGAGGGCTGGAGGCAGCACCAGGCCCTGATCCAGCCCCCAAAAGGTGCTGTGCTCCTCCCAGGTCACCCATGCAATAGGCATCTTAGGGAGGGCTAGCATCAAGCAGGGCTGCATTGTGCCCCAGGCAGGGAGTGACTGCAACACCAGCACAGGGAGGGACAGGGGCAGCTGCACCCTGGCCTCCTCCCCGCTCTAGCATTTCCCAGCCACACGCTGAGCACAGAACTCACTCAGCAACACACTCATGGCCACCTTCCCCCCATTCTGGTGACACACGCGAGAAACAGAGCCAGCCTGGCTGCCCAGGGAAGCAGCACGTGGTTGGGGCCAAATATTGGGGAAACAATGAAGCCACAAAAGAGGATCCCTGTGATGGGCTGGGGGAGCACCAAAAGGGCCTCAAAACCCACGGGTAGTTAAGCAGATGGGGAAGAAGGAGACCCTAAGACTGCAGGCCAGGGGACAAAAACACCCGGGGAGGCAGGGCTCCGGGCCCTATGGAGCAGGAAGGCGTTGGGCTGAGTGCTGGGACTGGGCCCAGCTGGCCACTGCATGGGGCCACCTCCTCCCTCCGAGGGGCTGATGGGACAAAAGGGAGGGAGGAACAAGCACGTACCTGGCTCAGGAGAAACCCCTCTCCATCCCGGTTTGCTTTGCTGCCATACCGGGGACGGGACGGAGGCCTCAGCTCACATTTCTGTGTCTGCCAGGCCTCCCGGACGGACCAAGCCTAAATATAGTCACAGCCCGGGTGGCCGCATACAAGCCGGGGGAAGGAGGGGGGGCTGCTTATACCATCGCTCCCCAGCTCCGGGAGAGGGCAGGCGTGGAGCAGCCACTGCCCAGACCCTGCTCACCCAGGACATGCAGCTGGCTCAGGGAGGGGAGGCAGCACCAAACAACTGCTCACCGCCAGCCTGCAAGCCAAGGGGGAGAGGGGATAAAGTCTGCCCTGTCCCTCTGCCTGGGCAGTTAAACATTAATCCATCCCGATTTGGAAAAGGAGGAGGTGGGTGGACACGTGGGACATGATGCATGGCCTTCAGGGCTGCACTGGGAGACACACAGCACCGCCAAAATCCCAAAACAGCACGTAGTGGTGTCAGAAGTCACAGAAGGCACCAAACCCAGAGATGGAGGGATTTTGTGCTCAGCCCATCAATTAGTGGGGTTGCAAGGAGGTCAGAGTCAGGGGAACAAAAGGGACGAAGCGTTGTGGATGGAAGAGCAATGGCAGCAGAGTAATCCCCCCAGTCTGTACCGTAAGTTCCGAACTCTGTGGGGCTGGCTCCAGGGTAAAAACTAGGGGCACCGGGCTGGACCGGGTACTGCTGTGTTGGGACAACGTATGTGGAACGACCCTGAAATGGGGGAGAAAAAAGCTGGTTATATCCCCAGCAGGGCACAGGCACACCCCAAAACTGCGCATGCCCCAAATCAGTGTGCCATTAAGGCAGGGCACAGGACACAAGCCACGCATCACATATCCAGGGTCAGCACACAGAACCCCGTGGGTGCTGCCCCTCTGCAGAGCCAGACAACACTCTGATGGAGTCAGGGACAGCTCAGAAAACCAGGGTAACTCCCTCCACTCCCCAGAACAAATTTGGGCTCCAACCTCAGGCCCACCCCAGCGCCCTCCCACAGAGCCCGGGGCACAGCCCTCACCTGTCCGGGAATGTAATAGGCTCCTTGGGAAGGTGTGTAGGATATCTGGGAGGGTATCATCATCACCTGGGAAGCAGCTGGATACACATGGGCAGGAGGGCCAGGCCGGGCCGTCGTGTTGCTCTGCACGCGGGACGCGCTGGCGGGAGGCTGGGCCCTGTTCTGGTAGAAATGCTTTGGGAGAGACAGGGACGCAGTGAGGCCAGAGCACCAGTACCCCCCTGCCAAAGTGCCAAAGTAACCAAGCCAGGTTCCCTCCCTACCCCAGAATTTGGGGGGTGGAAGGTTCACAGCACCCATCACCCCAAAACTCATCCTAGGCACAGAGTACACCCCTGGGTAGAGATTTAAAGAGGGGAGCCCCCCCCCCTCCCCCCTTCTTTATGGGATGCGGTTCCCCCACACCCCCCTTCCAGGCACCCCACATTGCCCCACGCACCTGCGGGGGGGCCACCTGGCTCCATCCAACCCAGCTCATGCCCAGCTCAGCCCACTCCCAGCCCAACAGGGCCGGCAGCGCCAGCGCCCGGAGCCGGCCACGGCTGCACGCAGCTCAGCGGCAGGTCCCGGCGTGCCTTGCAACAGGGGCTGGCACTCGCACTGAATGCTGGGACCTGTAGTCCCACTGTGCCATGCCGCACCGTGCCGGGACAGCCAGGACACGGAGCCAGCAGCTCCCTCCAGCCCCTGCCTCCCTGCCCGCTGCTTTGCTGGGTGGCAGCACCCCAGAGCTGGGGAGCAGAGGCAGCAAGCAAGGAGGTGCCTGCACGCCCGGTGCGTGGGGCAAGGCTGGAGCAAGGAGAAAGCGTTACCTGGAGAGACCTGAATCCTCCCTGATAGCAAGTGCACGCATACAGAGGGAGAGGGGAAAGAGAGAGACAGGAGTTACTGCTGCCGCGCTGAGATGGGACATGGGTATGGGTGGCGGGAGGGGGAACAGGGGTGGTAGTGCAAGCTTGGTGTTGTGGGATGGAGGAGCAGCAGCCGGACTCCCAGCACGATGGCCACATCCCAGATCCACCCATGCTGGGGGACACAGGGAGCTGCCTTCCCCTCTGGAGGTCCCCATGGAGCCAGGGGGACCCGGCACATTGTGGATATCACTAGGTCTGTCCCCAGCTGTGCCTCTGAGCTGATCGAGGCACAGAGCCTTTGCTCACACTCCCAGGGGCCACAAAAGGCAGGAGCGACAGCCATAGTGTTGCAGGCAGGATGCAGGGGGATACATCCAGCTTGCAAGGCACAAAAGCTTTGTCACCTCTTGGGGCTGTCAGGTCCCAGCCCTCCCATAGCTGCAGCCTCCCACAGCCTAAGGGACATGCTGGGTACAGTGTAGAAAGTCACTATCACTCCCAGGGCTCTGCATTAGTCAGGGACAGACCAACAGCACGGCACAGCTGCTGCCTCAGGAGACCCCAACCCCAGAGAGAGAGGGAGGAAAAGGATGAGAAGGGCACAGGCAGAAGCAGCGGCCTGGGCCGAGACCAGCACAGGCACAGCCACATGCACTAGACTTCATGCAAGAACAGCCAAGGAACTTGGGGATGCTGCAGTGAAACCCCTCCAGCTGATCCCACTGAGCAGGTGTCCCTCTGTTCTCCAGCCTGTTCCCCAATACGGCTTGATGCAGCTCCCCACGTGCTCCCCAAGTATTTCTGTGTAGTGCCAGGTACTGGGGCTGCCCCGGGTGCTCAGCATGCAGGGTAGGGACTGGTTAGTACCTGCTGGTGAATAGCACGAGGCCCTGCTGGAAACTGAGAGAGGAGAGAGCAAGGTTTGGAAAGGGGAGGAAGGAGAGAAGAGCGGTCACTTGGTGGGTGCCCCGCAGGAGCTGTCTGCCCTCACCCCAGAGCTGGGGAGAAGGGACACCATGATGGAGATTTGGGGTAGGTGCACACCAGCCCCACAGGGCAAGATCAGGCTCCTTGCATCCCCAGCACTGCTGTGGCCAACCAGGAAGAGCGTGGGCTGCTCAGTCAGGAGGCTGCAGACCCTAACCAGCTCCCCAAAACTTCCTCTTCCCATACTAAACACCTTACCTGTCGCGGCTGAGAAGGCGTATTCATTTGTGAGGTCGGTGTCGGGTTAAAAATCACAGGTGCCGTCTGACCAGGTGGGAACGCTGACTGCATGGAGGGAACCAGTGGGCACCACAGCCTCTAGCAGCCTCATCCCGAATCAGAGAGGCAGTTGGGCACCTCCCACCCCAAAAGCCATCGGAGGGGCTGTTTGTTACCTGTGGAAGTCCAGGAGAAGGGGCAGGGTGCGGGGCTGTCGGGGCTCCTCCTGTGGGCTGTGGAGCTTTGTTCATTTCATGTGGTTGTGCATAAGGATCCCCTTGCTATCTGCGGGGACAGGCATAAGCTGAATGGCATCGTATTTTTTGTGTTGCAGCCTGCAGTATTCTCCTATCCTGAAACGGGGCAATGCAGCCCCTCTGAGAAGCTCCAGGAGCTGGGGTGGAGTTGGGCAGAAGCTGACGCCGGGGTGCCCTGGCTCCACCCCGGCTGACCTACTAAGCGCTTCCCCTGGCCGGCCAAACCTGTTCCTGCTGGTGGTGCCGGAGCCCAGCTCATGCCGCAAACGCCTACCGGGGAGGGCAGGGAGCAGCTCCCACGTCCCCCCCTGCCACCACACTGCCGCCGCTCCTGCCTTCGGGGACACAGCTGGGTCCCAGGAGGGACTTGGTACCCTGTTCCATACTCCTTGCCCCAGAGCAAAGGGCATCTGAACAGGAGAGAGGAGGTGCCCCCTGAGCTGTACCCCAGGAGGGGTCCCCACATCCCATGGCAGCATTAGGATGGGGGGGCTCACTGCCAGCCGTACCGCACCATGAGCGGTGCCTGTAACATGACGCCTGGCTGTGTCAGCACTCGTGGCCCTGCCGGCCCCCCAGCCCCTTTGCCAGCCCCCTTGTCCCATGGTAAGCCAGGCATAGGCTATCCCCCTCACTTTTCAGTCACCCCCAGGCATGGGGATGGCCAACCTTCAGTAGGACCCCCAGCACCAAACACAGCCATCAACCCTGATGCCATCCAGGTGCTCGGATGGGACCCGATCCCATATACACTGACAGCCCCGGTTAACGGAAGACCAAAGAGATTTAAGGCACAGCAGGGACAGCAGCTCTTGGGGACAGCCACACCACCAGGCCCACAAAGCCACACCGGGCCACCCGCCACCGGCACAAACCTGGGCCCGGAGGGAGGGACACCACAACCCGGCCCCCCAGTGCCTGCACAGCACCCCATACTCACCCCCCCGCGGGAAAAACCTGGGCCGACTGAGCGGGCCTGCAGAGACCTTTCATCCGACTGACTGGGACAGCAGGAGGGGAGAGAGGGGGGGGAGAGACACAGTCAGCCCGAGGCCCTGCAAGAGGCCGGGTCAGGCCGCGGGTCCTGCTGCCGGGCCCCCAGACCCACTCAGGCCCAGGGCTGCCCCGCCGCCGCCACCCCCCTGCGCGGGGCCGAGCCGCGGGCTCGGGCCGCACTGCAGGCGGCGGAGGCCCGGCCCTACAGGCCCGAAGCACCGCCCGAAGGGATCCGGGGCCCGCAGCCCACGGGAGCAGCGCAGGCCCCGCGGAGCCCCTCCCGCGGCCGCCTACCGGGTCCGGCCGCCTCCGCCCGGCTCTCCCCGCGGCCGCGCGGCCGCCCGCGTCCCACCGTGCCCTCCTCCCCCGCCGCGGGGCGATGACGGGGCCGTTCCCCCAGGCCGGGTCGAGCCGCCACGGCGTCTGCCGGGCTCCGGCACCGCCGCCTGACGCGGCCCCGGACCGGCCCGACCGGCTGCGGGCGGGGGGCAGAGCGGGGCGGCGGTGACTCACCCCGGGGCGGGGGGAGGGGGGGGGGGGGGGGTAAGGCCGGAGGGGCCGGCTCCATCTTGGCGGCCCCGGCAGGAGGAAGGAGCGGAGTAGGGCACGGCGCAGGGCCCAGGGCGGCACCCGGCGCTCCGCTCCCCCCCGCGGCGGCGCGGCCTCTGCCAAGGACACGTGTCACTGCCGCCCGCCGCCATGGCCCCGCGGCCCTACACCGGGCCCGGGCGGGGCGCTGGGGCGCGCCACGTGCGGCGGCGGCGGCGGCGGGGCCCGGCGGCGGAGCACGTGCGCGGCGGCGGCACGTGGGGACGGAACGGCGCTCGGCGCGGCTCCGGCAGAGCGCAGGGCCCGGCGGCTGCGCGGAAAGCGGATAACGGCGGAAAGACCGGCGGCGCCCACGTGGTGGTGGTGGTGGGAGTAGCGGTGGCAGCGCGACGGCGGGGCCCGGCGGCACCGCGAGGCCCCGGGCTTCGCATCGCTGCCGCCACCCTGGTGCCGGTGCTCCCCCCCCTCACCCGGCTCCCCCCCCCCGCGGCGCGCGCCCGCCCCGCCCCCGCCCGTTACCTTCAGTCTCCTTCAGCGCGCGCGGCCCGACGCAGCCGCAGCGCAGCGCAGCACGACCATTTCCGGAGCCGCGCCGCGCGCAGGGGCGGGGCCGGGCGCGCCGCCGGGGGGAGGGGCGGGGGGCGGGGCGACGTCCGCCGCGCCTGAAGCCGCCTCGGGAGCCGCCCGCGGCACGTGACTCCTATGTCACGTGACGGGAGGGAGCAAAGGGGCGGGGTTCGCCGGGCACGCCCGCTCTGCGCGGGAGCCCCGCCCCCCGCGGGAGCACGCGGTCCAGGTGCCTGCCCGCGCCGCCGCCGCGATCCTCGGACCTTCCCTGCACGGGCACGCCGCTCTCGGTGCCATCATCCCCAGCCTGGCGCGGACTACCCCCGCCTCAGCCAACTCCCCCCCGTGTCCTCGAGTAGCCTCGCGGCACCCCAGGCCCTGGCAGGGTGCCCGGCTGGCTGGCAGCAGGCACCGGGAGGCGCGGGAACAGCGAGGGCTGGGACGCGGCCAGGGCCCGCTGGGATAGCCAGCGGCGCCCTGCCATCCTCGCGAGCCCCCGGTACCCACTCCACCACGGGATACCCAGGCCAGGGTAAGTTCTCCAGAACCCGTTCATGACACCAACCCAGCTGGTTTGGAAGCAGGACAGGGTTTTCCTCTTCCCCGATGCCCCCCCTCCGTATCCCAGAGCAATTGCAGCACCAGGGCAGCTATGAAACTATCAAAACCCCCAGGGCACTTACAGGGCATTAAGAGCCCTCCACGAGGAAAAGAGGATCAGAATTCAAGGATAGCACAGCACCATCAGTATATGTATACTTTATTTCCTCATCTTCCCGTAACAAATTAAAAAAAAAAACAAAACAAACAAAAAAAACCCAATCATCCTTCCCCCCTAGCCCACACTGCCTAGCCCCAGCTCCCAAGCCCCAGTCCCCCTAGCTCAAACATCATAGTTGGGGTTCTTGCGCAGGATGACGAATCCCTCCAAGATGGGTGTCACGGGCACATGCTCTTCGGTGGCCAGCTCTGCCCGCTCACCGTGTGCCAGCAGCACAGGTGTGGTATGTGTTTGGAAGCCAGTGATGGTTTTGGGCTTGCCTGCTTGGCCCACCACATCCACAGCCTGCAGGGGAGAAGCAAAGTGAGAGAGGAAGAGATACGGGGATAGAACTCCAGCTACTCACACTAGGCTCCAGCTGCCCCCTTACCTGTCCAACCCGGACCGACACGGGCAGAGGGCGCAGCTCCTCATCAAAGGTGACCAACATGCGGGGCTGCATGGCCGCAACCAGTCCGTAGAGGACGTAGTGAGACTTGCCCAGTATAACTGGAAGGGGATGAAAGCAAGAGTGTGGGTGTGGGATGGAGGGGTGCTGGGGCGGTGGTTAAGCACGCATTACTCACTGTTGCGCACATCCAGGAAGGATACGAGGACGGTCAACAGTCCAGCTACAGCCACCTGGCTCATGAGCTGGCGATCACTGTGGTAGGGGCACAGGGTGAGCGTCCCCTTGCCCAAGTGGGTCAGGCCCTGGTGTGGCACAGAAAGCATGTGAGCGCGTAGTGGGGCAGCACACGGTAGCTCCCCCGTCCCACTGCCCCCCTGCCTCTTCCCAACCACAAGTGTGGGATCATCACCTGGGCTAACCGCACCATGAAGAGGTTGTTGGGGTCCTTGGCGTGGTACTGGGCGAGCTGCCGCAGCATAGCAGCCAGCCGAGCGTTATTGGTACCTGGAGAAGGCAGGGATTGGGACACAAGCCTTCAGAGATTGGGGCATCAGTCTTCAGGCCACCCCCTTGACTCATAAAGCTGCCACCCAGGCTTACCACTGCCCACCATGCCCATGGCAAAGATGGAGTTGTAGGAGACTTCGGGGTCAGCATCATGGGAGAACTTGCTGAGGGTGTCGAGGATGTTGAGTCGAGGGTTAGAGACAGAGATGAGCGCCAGGGCCAGGGGCACAGCACGACGCAGGGTGGGCTCCCCATACCGCAGCTGCATGGAACGGGGTAGAGAGGGAATTAAACCCCAGGCAGGGGCAAGGGCACGGTGGGGCATCCACAACCCAGCTCACCAAGGCCAAGGTGTGAGAGATCTGCCCTCCTCATCCAGGTCCCTTCCCAGCCCCACACTGTCCCCCCACTGTTACTCACCAGGTGACCAAACGTGCGCAGGGCCATCTCGGCGCCGATCTCCTCACCCATGGCAATAAGTGCAATGCCCAACACTGCTACACCCTGCAGGGACACCAGTACTGAGTGCCAGGCAGGGACCACCAACCCCAAACTCAACCTCTTACAGCCCAGCTGGACTGTAGCTGTATCCTCTGCTCCAGTGAGAGCAGAGGATACCGTCCCCACACAGGGCAGCTCCTACGTCTGGGCTGCGGGTTCCAGCCATGGTTTCCCTACTTGGTGTGCCCCCATGTCAGCTGAGCTTTCTTTCTTCTCTTTCTCCTTTTTGTCCTTCTTGTCCTTGTCCTCCTCTTTCTCCTTGGAGTCAAAGTGCTCACTGCAGATGTGCAGAAGCTGCTGTACCTTCAGGACATTCCCTGAACCTGTGGGGTCAAGCAGTGAGCAAGGATGAGCAGAAGGAAGGCCAGGTCCTGCTCTCACCTCCCTCAGCCTTGGTCAGCTCAACTCACCAGCATAAGCACAGATGTCCACCAACGTGTTGGCAAAGCTGCGGAATGGCTCCGACACAACCTCCAGTGCTGCCAGGATGGCCTCAATGGCCTCTCCCTTGCCTGTGGAGAGGCACAGAGCTCAGGATACCCACGGTGTGCTCACAATCCCAGCTCACAGGACCACCAGTGTGGCCCTTCCTTACCCAAGTGGTTCAAGCCCAGGCCAAGTGGCAGCCACCGGGCATAGGTGTCCTTCAGCTCCGTCTCTGACTTCTCCATAATGGTCTGGAGGATGGTGGAGGTGACATCCCCATTGCAAGAGCCCACGGATATCATGCCACAGGCCAGGGCAGTCACACCAGCCACCTGGGGAGGGAGCCACGCTCTCAGGGCACAGTACATCACACAAGGACATGCAGAGCCCAAACCAGCCCCAGCATCTCCAGGAGCTGTCAGGGACTCGTGTGGCACACCCTGCTCTGCTCCCTACCTCCATGCTGGACTTGGAGTCCCCCATCACTGGCAGCAGCAAAGTCAGTACATCCTCACGGTTGGAGCCCGCATAGGCCAGCCCCAGCCTATGGAGAGCCCAGAAGAAAGTCAGGGATGGCTGCATCACCCCACACAGCCAGGGAGGCCAGGGCAGACCCTTACCCAAAAATGGCTCCGATCCGCATGGTGTTGCTGTTGTGGAGGACGTAGTCGGATAGCAGGGCCAGGGCAGGGTCACACTCATTCCTCACTCCTGAGTTGACGATGCCACAAGCCAGGAGGGCACCCGACTACGAGACAAAGGCACCATTATGAGCCACCACCACATAGAGCTCCCTGCCAGCCAGTGACTCACATCACCCCATGGGTTACACTTGCTCCCTAGGACATGCTGGTTGTTACCAAGTAAGCACGGGGCTGAGATCAGTGCCACTCACCTTAATATAATCTTCTGAGGAATAGAGGTATTTGTCGATCTGTGTGAGGCCCCCATCCACATCCCACAGCAGTATAGTGCCCAATGAAGCTGCAGCACTCAACATCCCTTTGGTTCCCAGGGAGAAAAGACCAAGTCAGTGTGACCAGCCTGCTGGCTGGGGACACAGCAGAACTGTACCCAACTGCCTTGCTTTCAGCAGGGCCCAAAAAGGGTCACAACCCCAAGCACACAGACAGCTGCAGCCCTCACCATGGTCCTTGTTCTTGTATAACCATTTATTGCCATCATCGGTCAGCAGCTTGTCTTGGCCGAATGCAGCGTTCACAAAGCCATTCACAAAGGAGGAGGCCAAATTCATCCGAGCTGAGTCCACTTGGGATCCACTGCCCCCAAACCCTGGGGAGGAAGATCAGAGTGAGGCAAGCCAGCCTTCCATTGCACAGTTGTCCCATGTCAGGCAGGGGTGAGGCCACAGGGAAGGAGAAGCCAAAGCCCACCACAGACAATGGGGTCTGCTCTATCCAGAGACAGCCAAGGTCAAAACATCAGCTCTTACGATTATTTTCCAGGTGGGTTTTGTAAATATCATCTGGTACTTTAGGCTCCATGATGTCCAGCTACAGAGACAAGGGAAAAGGGGGTTATCTCCCCACAGACACATTACAGCAGCTGGTCTACAAAGACAGCTTCTCCAGGTCTGTCTGAGCTCATAGGGATAAGGGATCTCTCCCCAGGTCTTGCACAGAGCACAAAGCCTGGCAGCCAGAGCAAATCCCAGCCTGGAGCTGCAGAGGGATCTTTCTCCAGCACAGTGCTTACCTCTCTGGCCAAGGCCAGGAAGTTGCTGTTGAGCTGGACGTTGGACATGATCTCAGTCAGGTCCTCATACTCCTCCACATCTTCATTCAGCTCCAGGAAGACCCCATGGCGGCCCAGCATAAAGGCCATCTGCTTCTGGACAACCCTGCAGAGGGAAGAGGCTTTGAAAGCATCCAGCCCCCAAGCAGCCCTAATGCTAGCCAAACAGCAGACATATACCCCAGCCCACCCTGCTCAAGAAGCATACAAGAGCAGCCCAGAGATGACTGGCTCCTGCTCATCTTTATTTTGGGGACAACAGTCTTGCCCAAGCCCCCAGCCACATCTGACAGTGTCAGGATCCTACTCAGCTCTGCTCCCCCCACAGCGTAGAGACAGTCTCTACTTACACATCTTTGCAGGAGGTGAAGATGTCCTCCACCAGCTCCACGTCGTTGAGCATCAGAGCCAGGCGCAGGGCTTCAGGGTAACGGTTGAACTTGCGGAAAATGCCCAGAGCACAGCGTAGGAGAGCAGAGTTCTCAGGCTCTGGGACATAGCTTACGCAGCTTTGAGGAGGAGATGCATGTGAGGATGAGTGTCATACAATGAAGCTGGGCAGCCTCAGCCCACCAGGGGACAGACAGATGCCCCTACCAGCCCCTCACCTGGTCAGGTAGAGGCACACTTTCGAGTAGGCGTTATCATCGATGTACTTCTCCAGCATGTCCATCTGCTCGATCTCCATGAGCAG